AATTAATTGCATTTTATATCATCATCTGACCATTGAAATTTGTTCATGTGTTGTAGATGGATTTTGAGTTCGTTTTGTCCGAAGATGAATGTACACACGAAGGATGTACGATGTCGTTTCCTAGTAAAAGGGATGCACCAGGACTGCTCAACTGCCACGGATGTAGCTGAAAATGAAGAAGTCGTGGTGAGGAAAAAGAAGCACTAGATGCACATCTAAATATCTTCAGTGTCAAATCAGACTCCGTACACTAGGAGTGGTAGAAACAGAGGAAATGAATTATACCAAACAATTAATATATCAGACTTTAGTGACATGCAAATGGCATCTACGAATAAATTATACCAAAGAATATCAAACCAGTGAAAACAACAGTTTAAATGTCTTTCTCGACATTTGAACTGTTTGTCTCAGCAATTTTTTTCGATAGTTCAAATGTCGATATTTACGGTTAGCACATAAGGAGTAACATTTAAATGGTGGGATTGAAATACATTCTTCATAGCATTAAGCCCTTGTTTGATTTTCATTAAATTACATTACATTACATTCTACTTTTTCTCTCTCCTATTTTCAACCACACATCTTCCATAAAATAATATTACACGTAAATCGAAAATTTTTCTTTCTTTTTCAACCACTCATTTTTCAAAAAACACTATTCTATACATTAAATTTTCCCCGTAATGGGGGCCAAACAGGGGCTAAGTGTATTCATCAATGTTCAATTATCCAATGACAAAATCTTCACAAAAAATCAATCCAATACTCTATTAAATAGGGAATCTTTCACAACATTTTATGAAGGACATTGCCATTTTTATTCAAACACGTGTAAAATCAAATCGGATGAATGAAAAATAACTTGTAAAATTGCAAATTAATATGAGCATGTTGTATTTAACAATTCAAAAATAGTAAGCTATGTAATCTTTATGCATCATGCTCTTTTTTTTAAATTAATATGAAAATTTCAGTAATGTTGCTCATGATGGGTATTGATTATATAGAATTTTATATTTTATTCTCGAGTTTATTTTTTAATTACTTGCACAAATTTGTCTTGGAACTTTTTAAGATGAGAATAAACAAAGGGAGCATTTCTTACTTTCACAATATAACAAAGATATGAACTTTGTTGATATCGATCAAACTCTGCCTGTGTTGGAGGGATTCATTGTAGATGTCCAAGAAGATAATGGAAAAGTAAAAATTGCTGGTGCAAGCGATGGAATACACTTTAAATTCAACTTGCTTGCTCATAATCATTCATTACAAACACCTGCAAAATCTGCACATGGCTTGGTTATGACCAACTCTACCACACCGATTGCATTTCCTGATGCAAAGGGTAAACTTGTATTATTACTCATACTAAAAAATGGAGATTGCAATGATAAGTATTTTGCACAATCAATGTGTCGGCATTTAATAGTATGAAAGTGACACACTAAAATGTTTAATTCGAAACAATAGCAAACACGTGAAATCGATAGTTGACATGTGTATCCCGACACTTTGAAAATGTCGACTTTGACGGTTTGTTTCGATAGATGGCAGAAAGCATTTAATGGGTGTGATTGATGAGCATTAAATGCTTTTAAAAAGGTATATTTAAGGATGATTTGGACATTTCACACACAAAAAATGATATTTTTGAACACCATTTGTAAAAGTGACAAACTTTTAGGTTATTTTCAATTTTGGTGACATATTTTCACCCATAAATTCTCAATCAATTTGCCAACTGCCAAAAGTACCAAACATAATTCAACCTTAGCTGATTCCCATGTTCCTTGAGACAAAAAACTAGATCATTGCAAATACTAAGCATGTGCACTGGTCTGTGCTGTGCCATTTATGATTTATTTTGGGTACTCTGGAAGCTCGACTAAACAGCAATAGATAGTATGATAAAAGAATTTTTTTTTTCTATAATATTGTTGAGTCGTGACTGTGTAATTGCAGCTCTTTTGTCACTTGTCAGTACTAAGTATAACCTCTGATAAATTTGAGACTGTCTTTCTTAATTTATAATAAAATTATTATATGGTAATATATGNAAGTTAATTATAATTAGCTGGTAAAGTCAGCTCTTTTTCAAGATGGAATATTGGAATGCTTATGCATTCATAAAGGTATCACTCTGCGACCATTCTAGCTTCGATGATGGAAATTGGAAGGGCAGCAACACATACAAGATATTATATATATATATATATATATATCCGACATGTTACAATAATTCGTCTCGACCAGGCATACTATATAGTATGACATCTTCCTTAACAAACAAACCATTAGGGTCTTGAGTTGAATACTTCTTCAAAAGTAATCGAACAAACAATTTCACAATTAGTCTCCAACTCATGGCCTTTTGAAATTCGGTCTCTACTTTACTTTGATTAGAAATCAAATAAAAGAGGAGAAATGTGATAAGTTCAGAGTCCATTGTCACGTTGTAAAATAAGCCATTATTTGGTGTAGCTTAAAATCTTGAGAAAATTTTAAGTTAAAGTCAAATATTAATTTTAACCAACTTTTATTTGAATTTTTTTACCAACTTTTATTTGAATCTACTAAAAATTTGATTTTTAACTACACCAAACAAAACTAAATATTTCTAATATTTCATCGAGAAATGTATTGTGCGACGGAAATTGCGACCATTCTAGCTTCGATGATGGAAATTGGAAGGGCAGCAACACATACAAGATATTATCTATCTATATATATATATATATATCCGACATGTTACAATAATTCGTCTCGACCAGGCATACTATATAGTATGACATCTTCCTTAACAAACAAACCATTAGGGTCTTGAGTTGAATACTTCTTCAAAAGTAATCGAAACAAACAATTTCACAATTAGTCTCCAACTTATGGCCTTTTGAAATTCGGTCTCTATTTTACTTTGATTAGAAATCAAATAAAAGAGGAGAAATGTGATAAGTTCAGAGTCCATTGTCACGTTGTAAAATAAGCCATTATTTGGTGTAGCTTAAAATCTTGAGAAAATTTTAAGTTAAAGTCAAATATTAATTTTAACCAACTTTTATTTGAATTTTTTTACCAACTTTTATTTGAATCTACTAAAAATTTGATTTTTAACTACACCAAACAAAACTAAATATTTCTAATATTTCATCGAGAAATGTATTGTGCGACGGAAAGAAGTCTTTTTCGAGAGTAAGACTTATTAGGATTTTTTTTTTTTTTATAAATGTTAACAAATATCTATCTAAAGAATTATTTTTTTCAAAGAGAAGATGGAATCCCATTGCGCACATATATTTCCACTATTAGTGAAATCTTGGAGGTCATCAATGACATTAGGTTTATCATTAGTCCTAACTTAGAGATATTAAAAATAAAGTCTTCATGCAAACTTTGGCTTTCAACTTACCCAACCCATTCGATTTTGAACCGGCTATTAAATAAGTTAGGGATCAAGTTTCAAGATGCGCCATAAGTTGAGAACAAATAGTGCGATTTTCTCTTTTGAACGACTTAAGACAATAGTGATTTATATGTTAACGAAGAAGTAAAAGAGTCAACTTTATCAAAGGAAAAAAGAAACTTTTAGTGTCCAATCTATTAAATACAATATCGAGCATGGTTTAAACAGATTATCATCCATCATTTTCATCCTTCTTTTCTATGAAGGTCCCTGAAAGCACTGGTTATTAATTCTTTCGGCCATGTGGACCACAGCTAGGAAAAACCCAATTTGGATGGCATGAAGCAACTTTTCTATTTGTGTCCCAGAGAGGGACTGCTATACTTTTTGTCTTGTTTCATTGGACTATATGCAACAATGGCACAAACTGTATGATTGATATAGATTTAACACTTAGAAGACGAGTATGTTTAGTAAAGGATTGAACAGTAAAATAGATAGATTATTAGCAATTACATATGAAAGGAGCAGGTATAGACAAGAGGGGATACCTTATTTTGCAGAGGAAAAAGGCAACTTCTGAGTACATTAATCTTGGGATCATAAGAAACAAATGTCATGTGTTTGGTAGGAGGATAGCCAGACATGGTGTTGCATTGTTGCTATTAAATTGTCATGTGAAACGATAATTTTCGTTCAGACTAAGAAATTAAAGAAGCCAAATTAAAAAGGGTTATGTGTTGTCGAATTAAGGAAGCCAAATATAAAAGGATTGTGAATTGTCCGGTCAAATCCACTTCGACATATAAAAGAGTCTTATATAGCATATTTTGTATTACTTTGTGAACGTACGTTCTGAGTTGTTCAAAGACTAAATATCCATAAGATGAACATAGTAAAGATTGAGATGTTAAAATGAATGCACAGATTGTCAAATACGATTAAAAAAATAAATAATAAACACAAACATAGACATTGCTTCTTGAAGCTATATAGATATATATTTTGTTTAAACATGACTAGCTTTTGTTCATAAGAATGATTCGATTTTAGTACTCTGTCAAATGGAAGATTCTGTGTGATCTAATTTTTTACGTCTTTGGTTAAATTTAATAATTAACTTCAAATTTATTGACAACAAAGACTAGTACGTCGTCCTATTTTCTCCATCTTTGGAGTTGACTATTTTAACTTAGACTTTGAGAAAAAAGGAGGTGTAAAAATAATGGACCAACCCATTAGAGTGGAGGCACCAATTTCACTACCCTTTAATTATAAATCTTATTGGTTCTTAATCTTAACCCACCCTCCAATTATATGTTACCTTTTTGATTTTCAACCCCACACCTCCATTATCTATGTCCGTATAGCCATATAGGCAGACCAGACCATTTATCTATGTCATGTCACATGTCATACTAATATGAATACATATTTTGTTTTTTTAATGCATTTCCAAGTGCCTTTCCCACAAATATACCACGTGGTCTTGTAGTACATGTCTAAGGTGGACCACGTAACCCTACCCCACCGAAATCTTCTTTGTCTATTTAAATTCCATTTTCTCTTCTCCCTTCTCCCCCCAAAATTCACTTATTCTTCTCTCAACTTCTGCAGATTGGGAACCAAATTTTCTGCTTATTTTTCTATTCTGTTAGTACAACGTTGACATAAACAAACTTAAGATTATGGCTTCTTCTATTGCACATACAAACTCAAATTTGTTCACTAAAATGACAAGAATAGAGAGGATTCACTGTGCTTTGAACTCTCCTTCCGTGCTTACTTTCCCAAAACAGCTCTTGCAAACAGGGGTAATTACACCGACGAAGAAGAAAACTACTCGCCCGCCGGCGCCGCCGGAGCCTCAGTGGAATATAATACAGAAAGCGGCGGCGAAGGCTTTAGATGCGGTTGAAGCTGCCTTGGTGTCACTTGAGTTACAGCATTCACTCCCTAAGACTGCTGACCCGCGTGTTCAAATTGCTGGAAATTTCGCACCTGTGGAGGAGCAGCCGGTGAAGCATGAACTTACTGTCACTGGAGTAATCCCGGAATGCATAAATGGAGTATATGTGCGAAACGGTGCTAACCCTTTACATGAACCTGTCGCCGGCCACCACCTTTTCGACGGTGACGGAATGATCCATGCAGTGACCATTGACGGTGGTAACTCGGTGAGTTACGCTTGCAGATTTACAGAAACACAGAGGCTGACTCAAGAACGTGAATTAGGCCGGCCAGTGTTTCCCAAAGCCATCGGAGAACTTCACGGACACTCTGGCATCGGCCGGCTTCTTCTCTTCTACGCTCGAGGCCTATTCGGGCTGGTTGATCACAGCCAAGGCACCGGAGTAGCCAACGCCGGTTTAGTTTACTTCAATCAAAGACTCTTAGCCATGTCTGAAGATGATCTTCCCTATCAAGTGCGGATCAAATCTTCTGGCGATCTCGAAACAATTGGCCGATATGATTTTGATCACCAATTGAGAAGCGCCATGATTGCTCACCCCAAGATTGATCCTATCACCGGTGAGCTCTTCTCTTTAAGCTACGATGTCGTTCAAAAACCATATCTCAAGTACTTCAAATTCTCCAAGGACGGAAAGAAGTCACCGGACGTCGATATTCATTTGGATGTTCCGACGATGATGCATGATTTTGCTATCACTGAGAATTACGTCGTAATTCCCGACCAGCAAGTGGTGTTCAAGCTTCAAGAAATGATTAAAGGTGGCTCCCCGGTGATTTACGACAAGAACAAGAAATCAAGATTTGGGATTTTATTAAAGAATGCTAAAAGTGCTAAGGATATTACATGGGTGGATTGCCCGGAAACCTTTTGTTTTCACTTATGGAATGCTTGGGAGGAGCCGGAGAGTGATGAAATCGTCGTCATTGGTTCTTGCATGACTCCACCAGACTCGATTTTCAACGAATGTAACGAAAATTTGAAGAGTGTTTTATCGGAAATCCGCCTGAATTTGAAGACCGGTAAATCGAAAAGGCGGCCTATCATTCAATCCTCGGAACAAATCAACTTAGAAGCCGGTATGGTGAACCGGAACCGGCTTGGTCGGAAAACCAAGTACGCTTACCTTGCGATTGCAGAACCATGGCCGAAAGTTTCAGGATTCGCTAAAGTCGACCTCTCGACTGGAAAAGTTCAAAAATTCATCTACGGTGATTGTAAATACGGGGGCGAGCCGTTCTTCGTCCCAAGGGATTTGACTTGTGACAGTGAAGACGACGGGCATATTCTTGCATTTGTACACGACGAAAAGACATGGAGATCCGAGCTGCAAATTATAAATGCCATGACTTTACAATCTGAAGCCTCTGTAAAGCTTCCATCAAGAGTCCCATATGGGTTCCATGGGACATTCATAAGCTCAAAAGACTTGGAAAATCAAGTGTAAGTACATATATGTATATGTGTGCATATGCGCTTATGGAGGAGGGATAGGCCAGAGGGATCGTAGATTAGAAAAACGTCCCCGGATTCTTCTTTCAGCAGCCGCTTCGAAAAAAATTCTGCATTTTTAGGGTAGATTTTATTGATTATTACTGTGTTTTTGAGGAGCCAAGCTTGTAGCTTTTGACGTATGTAGTGTCAATGGAGCTCAGCTGGTTTATGTTTCTTTTTGTTTTCTACTTTATTTTATGAGATGCCATAAATATGTTTTGAACAGTTCATTGCCATCTCTACTATACTTCACTAGCATGTTAGGATTGCTATTATTTTTAAATTTTTAATGCGTCTTACCAAATAGTCATTGTGGGATTTACAATAAACAATATTTGCGACACGACTCTTTTGATTAATTTTGTTATATAACGATCTATTCATATCAATAAACCATGCTCTGCAATGTTTATCGAGGAAATATTATGCTAATATTGTAAAGTGAAATCATATCTTGTTTTATAATAGGTTTCTTTTTCAGAATTATGCATAGATGTAATTAGTTTCCAGTTTAATAGAAAAGAATTGTAAACGCACCTTTCAAATCAATCTACTAATATTGTTTATTATTGTTAATGCAATTGTTTAAATACATCTTGTTAACCCCAAAAAAAGTACCAACAGGTATTGGGTTCCATTTGAGTCCAAGTGAGTAAATTCCGTCGGGTTTTAGCCGAATAACCGGTCAAAGATTCAACGGCTTGTTATGAGCGTGGGAGTGAAACACACACGATCGAGAGGAGCGTAATAAGAAATGACTTTTTTACTTACACAAACATCAAGAGATTGAAGATAAGTATATGTGCTTAAATGTATATTTTCCCATCCTTTACAATGTTATAAAAGTCGATATTTATAGTGACCAAGCTGAATTGGTCATCGTTGGATTAGATTCACGTTGCTCCATCTAATTGATCGAAGTTTCATATCACTATGTCGCACATTAATTACATTGACAAATGCATTTGACACTATTAATGCAAATATTATATTAATCATTCCTAAAGATACATTCATCGGACTTGCTCTAAAGAAGACAAGCACTTCAGCCACAAGAGGAAGTTTAGGATGTGAAGGAGTTCGACACTGAGAAGAAGCATACTTAGGTAGCGGAGTTTTGATGGAGATATAGTGCCCCAGCCAGGAAGACAATTCTTGCCTTCTTTCTTTATTTTGTCTTGATTGACTGCCACGTGTATGAGCGTGGTGCCCCCACGTGGCTTCACATATAATCAGTAACAATAATCTTTCAAGTCTATATACGATCATTTATGTAATGTATGGACTTTATGCTTTATTGAGAAAAATGTGTTTTTGTAGGAGTAAAAGTACACATCACTTAGTGCTTATGCTTAATAGAAGGTAGTTTTGTTACATGTCCTTCATGAATGAGCATTATACCCTCGTAACTTGCGTGACTTGTTTGATAAAATTGAATAGTATATTACTCAATAGTATATTAAATAAATTTTTTACAATATATATAAATTTATTTCAAACAATAGTCAAAGTTGAATTCAAAAATAAAATCATACAAATTTATCAAAGGCTAGATACCCTTGATTTTTTATTTTCCCTTGATTGCTGGAGCAATTATCTAAGGCTAAACATATTCACACCACAATAACTAGACTATATTTTAATTATATGAAAGGTTCGTAACCTTTACACTTAATCACATTTAGGTCTCAAACGTTTACATCATTTCCTACCATTTTTACATTCAATTTTAAATAAAATTTTACAGATAAAATAGATTAGTTTGTAATTAAAATTTTACATATTGATTGCTTGTTTAGTTTAAAATTTTTATACAGGTTTCGACATATTGATAATATCACACATTAAAGATATCTTCTTCTTCTTCTTCTTCTTCTTCTTCTTCTTCTTCTTCTTCTTCTTCTTCTTCTTCTTCTTCTTCTTCTTCTTCATTAGAGAGAATTGAAATGTTTTAACTTAAATTTTTATTTTGCTTGTTTATTTTTAACTGTGGTAACTTATTTTTTTAATTTTCTTTTAAGAAATATTTTACCCAGTGTTGTGAATTATTTGCTTATGCAAGTAGTAGTTCAGAATATTATCATATTGTAGTGCACAAATAAATAATACATTAAAATAATGATGTGCAACAAGTTATATAGACATAGCTTTATATTTACAAGATTTTTTTTTACTAAAATAAAAACGTACAAAAGTCAAATGAATTCTATAGAAATATATAAAACTATAAAAGTCTATAGAATTCTATAGAAGACTTTTGTTAATTCTTTATCTATTAAAATCAAATAGTTCATTAAACCATACGAAAGTCATTCACTTTAATTTAAAAAACAAAAAAGACTGTAAAAATCTTTCAAATACCAAATTGAATACACCAAGGTAAAATAAATAAAATATGCTAACTTTTATTTGCATATCCTTTTCATATTAATGTTCTCTCTAGGCAAACATACCCAATAATTAAATACTAATTAGATTTTTTTTAATCATATTTTTGGAATTTTAAGTTGTTTGGGAAACATTTTTATGTAAAAATGAATTTTTAAATAGTAAATTGATAAGAAATATGTGGTTGAAAAATAAGGAAAAATTTTTTATTTACGTATAATATTATTTTAATAAAAATATGTTGTTGAAAAGAAGAAAGAAAGATATATATCTTGAAAAAAATGAGTACCAAATGGCCTAAGGCTAGATAGAAATTGAGAAAAAAAAAATCATATAAAAATTGCTAGGTTGATCATTAAGCGAGAAAAGGGCAGATTCAATGGACTGACAAGCAGTTGAAATTCTTCATATGGTTTAAGGAAAAAATGTGTGAGGTGACACCAATAATTAATGCTGTGAAATTTCTTGAAATAGGTAAATTGTAAAAAGGGCAAAAAAGAAAAAAAAAATTCTTGATACTTAAAGCCTATTTGGGAGTGATTTTTAGAATTGATTTTTTAACCGTTAAGAGAAAAGTGAGATCCACCTATGAGAGAAAAAGTCAAATATGACGACTGAAATAGTGAAATAACGATCAAAAATCAATTTTTGAGTCAAAAAATCACTCTCAAACAAGATGTTAAATACCTTTTTTCTTGGCCTACTTTACATTTGGATAAACCCATAATTATGCAAAAAGAAATGAAAGTTTGTCAACATATACAATGTATCTTGATTTTCTTGCATTTTAGATATCATGTTATAATTATGAACCTCCTTCAAATTATTGACTATGCAAAATTATTGTCGATGATACAAAGTTCTTTACTTTGTTCTTAATTGTTATTCTATTTTGTTGAAAACGAAATGCAAGAGAGAGAGAGAGAGAGAGAGAGAGAGATTTTCTTTTATCATATTCCCTTAATATAAATACAAGATACATATTAGATTTTTGATGAAAAATGAATCCAACCTCTATACAGGATAACATGGTGAATATATGGTGACTATTGATAATATATGTTAATTCTCGCAAGCAATTTGATTTTTTAAGTAATATCGAGAAACTAAAAGATCATAAAAGAAGTAAATTTAAATGAATAAAATTCTTAATGAAAAGAGTTAATATAGAAATTAATATCCTTCAAGCAATTGAAGTTTAAACTTCAATAAATAACTTGCTCCCGTAAAAATAATTATTTTTCTTCACTTTTTTAAATTATAGCATGTTTGGGAATTGTTTATAAACATTTTAAATTATAAATAGATAGAAATGAGTGGTGGATAAGTGATTAATATATTTGTAAATTCCTTGAAATGTATGAATAAAAAGTGAATTAATTATTTATAAATAGATTACGATATGAGACATTCATAAGAAAATCATAGATTATTTTCTTTCGAAGAATTATGACTTTTATATGCCCCAAGAACTAACATACTTCAAAAAAAAAAAAAAAAAAAAAAAAAAGAAAGAGACATGCATTTCTTCTGTACCATTTTCAAAGATTATAATTTGCCGGAGATTGAATTTAAGCCACAACTTTCTTCTGTAGATAGTGATACTTGAAAAGTGAGAACGATTAGGTTATTCAAAAAGGCATTCATTTTTATTTTTTGATAACTTAGGTTGTCCAAAAAGGCATTCTTGACCTTATCGTAGGTTGTCAATTTTCTATTGGAGTTTTCACTTAATTTTAAAAAAGTCACTTTTTGCAGGGGACCTATAGACCCATTTTTCTAGCATTTTTACCTCTCTTCCTTTGTACCATATGAGTCGAAAACTCTTGCTAGTTGGTGAAACTTAAGATCACGAATGTTATTATTTTACATAGTTAACGACGAGACATAAAGAATGATAAAAATGCCAGTTTGACATGGATATATAATCTCTCTCTCTTTTATTTTTTATTTTTTTATATTTCTCTTCAAATATAAACAGTTACGATGGTAAGACTCACCAAATCACACTACAATAAAAATAGCCTGTCTCGTACACGTTGCAAAAAGTTAGCCCGTTTCATATTAACAACATTTAATAAATGTTGTGAAAAGTTAGCCTGTCTCATATTAGGTTTATCTTTTTTGCAAAAGGAGAAACATTTCTCAACCGTTAACAAACGTTGTGGAAGACTATATATTTGAATATTCGCAACAGTCAATGGACATTGTAATAGGACAAACTTTTAACAACGAGCATTAAATATTGCGAAACACTAAATAAATGTTGCAAAAAGACAATATTAACAGCAGACACTTAAAAAATATTGCAAAATCTCAATTATGTTAACTAATGGCAACATTCACATATTAGAACATTGCGGTAGATACATTTAGCAACAATCGATTAATGACTTTTATGTGTTGCGAAAAGCTATTTTTGTTGCACTGCCACCTAGAGTTTTTGAAGGCGTGTGTTATGTATAGTCAGAGATAGTATTGTTAATCCACTTCTTTTAAATGTTTGAATTATTTAAAAAATTAAGATATTTATTATCTTTTTAAGCACCTACCTACGTGCAAATCTGCAATCCAAATACATTTTTTCAATTTAACGCATAATAAAGTAGAAATCTCATTAATAGGATAATATTGAGACATAAACTAACGATATATGTCCACTCTGATACCATGTCTCCTAAAAGTTTAAACTATAATAAGAAAGTGAAAATTTTATATATTTTTTCATTTTATTTATTTCTAGTTCTAAATTATTTTTCCAATATTTAGCAAAAAAAGAATGAGGACAAAAACTATATTTTCATTGCTCGAAAAGAGACATGGACAATGAAAGTGTTTGAAAATCACCACACTTTCTAGTGGTGAGTTGATATCATATTTATATCCACATTTACATGATTGTATATGGCATGATTAAAATGAAATGGAAATAATACAATTGAATGAAAAATTTGAGCAAACAAAGTGGAAG